ACGGTCGACACTAATGCTGCTACTTTGATATTCATCTCCATAATTTCGTATCGTGTTGAAGTGTAATTTTGCCACTTGAAACGATGAACTTATCTATCATGTTATACGTTGCTTATAAATGAGTGAATCGATACAATAAAATTCAATTATCCATATGTTTTGGTGTCTTTCAGAAAGAGGTAATGAAAGTTTGACGATCAAATCATCCATTCAAGATAACATAATTTTACAAACGTATTCCTACAGTTTTGATATTAGTACATGGAGTGGAAAGTTGACGAATAATCCGTGAAAATAATGATACTGATTATAGGGGTTCATTAACCAAGCGAAAATGAGAGTGAAATGTAACAATGTAGGATATAAGATAATAATATGTTATGAGTTAACGCAAGTTGAACTCCTTAAATCAACACGTGACTGAAGCTCCCTACATCGACGCATTCAAAAAATAGTTGGATCAACTGAGGAACCCCTATAGCCATGGTTAACAAAAATCATCCGACCTTCTTTCCTTTCCAAACGGAAACTATATCTACACTACTGAGCATTACTATCACCCCGGTCTCTAATTACCAATTGCGGTTATTACAGGGACATTATCCAGTAAAATAGTCTGATACGAATAATATCAAGAATTAGTGTGACATTCCATTCTCTGTTGTTGGAGTGACAAGTTTGGCCCTATGCTACGAATTCTGATTTGAACAACTGAATTGTACCGGTTTTCCATGTATATACGAGATGGATCATGGAGGCTCAAGTTATCTGGTCTTTTTTAGATGGTATGGATAAGTGTGATAATACTTTCTTAATTTATCTTTCCGCAATGACATTTACTGTCGTCTTGTTAGTTTTGCCCGAAAGTCATGCATGCACCTTTATAATAAAGGTTGTTTCAACTCAATTTTGACTTGTTGAGCACTAAGCTTCCCATAAACTCTTCTTTTCTTCCCAAGTTTACTCATGGAGAGGATTTCCGAAGCATTGTCAGTTGCTGTACACTATCGAGTTCGTAATGCATCCAATTTGTATTTAAACCTGTGATTGGTGACCAACTTTAAGATATAACGATAAGTAAATCCATCTGGAGCCTTTCTCAGTTTACAGTTAGTCCCAAGCCCGGATAAAGGAGGATAGTTGGGGTTGAGGTTAGCAATTTCATCCCGTAGAAAACAACCCTGCTAAAAAGACGCTAATCAGAAAAAAAACAGTCTAAAATTTACCGTGAGAGTTGAAGTTTCATCATTTAGAAGAGTTATGACCTCCAATAGTGAAAGCAGGGATTCTTCGGGAGTCAAAAGGCTGATATCCCTCCTAATAGCCAAAACAACAGATAAAATAGGTACATGGAATCATCAGTCAGTCAGCTACAATGTAGGAACAATAAGTAGGAGTACGTGTTCAGTGATTTGTAATTATAATTAATACGACTGTCAGTCAGTAACAATGTAGAACTTCGTACGTACGTACATCAGTTCGAGTTGCTATACCACATTAGCACAAAGATGCAGTTGTCGATCCAAATCCCATAGTGGTAGGAGTAGTAAGAGTATAAACAGTCAGTCAGCTACAACGTAGGACCAGGCACACATTTATGCATCGGTCCAAGTTGCCATACCTCGTTAACAAAAGATGAACACCGGATTCATAGAAGTAGTTAATTTAGTGGTGGTAATATATAAAAGGTAGGTTGTATATAAGGATAAAGTATAGGAAAGAAGAACGTTATCAAGCAATTTTGATCTCAAGGTTTAAGGGAAGATAAAGAGTGTATACACCTACGTCATTGTGATCGATTATGAGCCATGTCACACAGAGTCTCCAACCATTGGTTACGATATTCACGCGGACCCCAACCAAGTAGTCTGCATCTACCAACATGGCTCAGACTAGAAGTTGGTGAGTTCAAACACTGATGCCACGTTTTGGTTTGGCCGCCCCTAACTCTTTTCCCACCACCCCTAATACTAGTCAGCATAGCTCGTCGTGGTAATCGGTGTTTAGCCCCCAAATGCCCTGGTACGGCCGAGAGTGGGGAGAGTCCACTCTCCCTCTCGAAATGCTCTCACATGGCCACGCGAATATATAGCCTCTGCCAGGGAAGTCCTACTCACTGCCTTCTCGTGGCGGGGGTGTTGTTTACGAAAGTGAGAGGACGAAAAGCGAATGTCCGATGCTTTAACCGGGTAAGTGGACATGGAGGGTCCACCTAGGGGAGTTGGAAAACCCAGATTCCAAACCAATGGTGCACATGGGCTCCAGGACCCTGAGGGGACAAATAACGTATAAACCGATCGTTGGTCATCGACTACCACGGGACTGCATTTCCTCACGATGCTCCACTGCCCTGTGGATCAGACCTGAAGCAGCCGTTCAAGCTGGCTTCCTTCAACGTTCGCACATTAATGCAGATTGGACAACAGATGGGGCTGTCTTTGTCTTTAGAAAGTCTTAATGTTGATGTTTGCTGTCTATCCGAGACCCGTATTCAAGACTCTAGTGAAGTACTACAAATTCGCTCTCCATCTGTCGCTTCGAAAAGCTTGTTTCACGTGCGCTTATCCGGGGACTCTGTGGCATCTTCGTCTGGTCTTGCACTAAGCGCTAGGGCTGAGGCAGCACTAATCGATTGGATCCCCATTAACAGTCGGTTATGTGCTGTTAGATTAGAAAGTTCCATCAAAGTGAGAAGAAACCGGCCTGAGAAACAGTGTCTTTTCGTCATCTCCGCCTATGCCTCGACAGATTGCCGCCCGGATGAGTTTTACCACCAGTTAACAGTTCTTCTCCAGAAAGCGCGTTCGACAGATTTGGTAGTACTAGCCGGAGGCTTGAATGCACAGGTCGGGCGTCTAGGCACAGAAGAGAGTCGTTTAGGTGGCCGATGGGGACTTGTTGGTCGCAGGATAGATAACGGAGACCGTTTGCTGCAACTGTGTACAGACCACAACCTGTTTCTGGCTAGCACTAACTTCCAGCACAGTCATCGCCGGTGTGCCACCTGTCGTCCTCCCTCTGCATCTCAAGCCTGGACTCAGATTGATCACATCGCGATCAGCTACCGCTGGCGTGGTTATGTACAAGACTGCCGCTCCTTTTGGAGTACCTATCTGGAGTCTGATCATGCCCTGGGTTTCTTCTGGCTCCTTACAACTGATGGAAGCCCGTCGGTCTACTCCGGGTGACCGTGAGTTTAACCACAAACGAAGGCTGTTACGTAATGAAATCGGGCAAAGCTTGCGTAAGGACCGAGAAGTCTGGTGGTCGGAGCGTGCTAATGAGATGGAAGCAGCAGCTGCATCTGGTAACTGCCAGAAGCTCTTCCAACTCATCCGAGCCACTGGCAGCAAGAAGTCTGGTGTGAATGAAACAATCTACGAGGATGACGTGATGCCAATCACTAACATCTCTCGACGTCTTGGACGATGGGCGGAATTTTTCGAAGGGCAGTTCAACTGGCCTGCTGCTCCGGCAACATCAACCAGTTTGTCCTGCACCCCATGGCCGGTGACGTTTGATCCACCAAAGGAGGCGGAAGTGTGCAAGGAACTCCAACTCCTGAAGCGCTACAAATCACCGGACCCAGATGACTTACCTCCAGCTCTTTTTAAAGATGGTGGTGACTTTCTGACTAAGGAATTGACTATGTTGTTTACAAGGGTTTGGGAGTCAGAAAGTGTTCCAACATCATGGAATGAGTCGATAGTCGCCCATTTCTTTAAAAAGGGTGCATGTATAATGAAAGCCAGAGCGGCTTATGCCAATCTGGGCCATCTTTAGCGCCTTCGTGATGTTAGTCTGGCTGTAAAAAGTCGGATTTACAACGCGTCGGTGAGAGCAGTTTTGCTCTATGCTTGTGAAACCTGGCCTCTCCGAGTTGAGGATGTTAGATGTCTCTCTGTGTTCGATCATCGTTGTCTCCGAAGGATTGCTGACATACAGTGGCAACACCATGTTAGTAATGAGGAGGTTCAGTATCGTGTGTTCGGGAGCCGAGACGATAATTCAATTGGTGTCACATTCTTGAAACACCGACTTCGGTGGCTTGGACATGTTTTACGAATGTCGTCCCAGAGAATTCCACGTCGTGCATTATTTACCGACTCTGGGACTGGTTGGAAAAAGCGGAGAGGAGGTCAGTGTATGACATGGTGTCGTGGTATGAAAGAAAGCTGCAAAGGGCTAGCTTCTGTTGGTCCTTCACGACTCCCTGGCTGGGGTCCGAGAGATGGTGCAACACAGTGGCTAGAGACGTTATCAGATATGGCTCAGAATAGAAGCCAGTGGCGATCCTGCTGTAACCTTCTTTTAATTTCTACATATAGAGTGGTTCTAACTTTCTTAACTGAAAGAGTCTTCTGGTTGTACATTTTAGTCCGCCTTATCTTTTCATCATTTCTCTTCCTACTTTCATTACTTTGTGTGGCGCATATGTACCTGGTGCCCTTTTGTACCAATATATATGTGTTTAAATAAATAAGTAAATCGGTGTTCAGGCATACGTAACACGTGGCCTAACCATCTCAGTCGATAAAGATTCATCACCTCATCAACTGATTTACCATCATTCCCTAATACCCTACATCTAACCTCACTATTAGTTACCCGGTTATCCCAGCAGATGCGAGCAATATTTCTAAGGCATCTGTGATCAAATACTAGTAACCTACGAGTATCTACTCTTAATGGCCATGTTTCACAGTCGTAAAGTAGAACAGAGCGAATCGCTGGTCCCTTAATTGACAAACGGATATCTCGTCTTCGCTATAGGTGACGTAAGTCGGTAAAAGCCAAACGAACTTTTTGAATCCGTGCTGAGATTTGGTCAAACATGGAATGCCCGTACAATGGAGAAGACTGGGAGAACAATTCAAAGATCTACAGTAAGTAGTATGAAAGGAAAATATAATCCGAACCCTATTTTTCCATCATGATCATCATTATCCCGAGAACAATATTAATTGTAGATGATACTTGCAAAACTTAAAAAAAAAGCGTTACATAATATAAAATACATTTTAAAAGCATTCAATGTACAAGAAAAATCACAAACATACACATACATATTGGGTTTTTTTTCTTTTTAAAAAGTGTACTTTTTAGATTGAATAAAACAAAGTGGGAAAACTATTCAAATCCCATGGATACATAAACAAACACACACACACACACAAACCTATTCATCTCATATACATGGATTATTTTAAAACTAAATTATGTTTGTTAAAATGAAAAGAATATAATAATCAAAATATACATGCCTTAGTTGCGGCTATAACAATTGTGAGTTGTTGAGAGCATCATAGTTACATAATCGTTTTGTTTTGGAATCTGATCATTATAATAATAATTGTCTCCCTGTACAGTGGCTGAAGACAATGATGAGTAAATTATGATGTGTATAATATATTGAGTGGATGAGAGTGCAAAACAGTATTAGTTGTAATTCATATTATTTTTGATCTCGATTTGTTGAAGTAGGTGAAGAGAACATCCATGAATTGGGATTAAACACTATCCCACCAACTAATGGTTGACGTATTTGAGTTTGGTTAAATGGTGAGAGTGTAGGTGGTTGGGTTAGAGTTGGAGGTTGTTGTGGTGGTGGTGGGGGTGGAGGAGGAGGTGGAGGGACTGTGCTCATCAATGCCCAGAAATCATTAGATGGAGGACGTTGTAACGATGTTGTTTGATTGACTAACGATTGTGACCAATTCTGTCCACGAAATAATGTAGTTGGTAATTGTAAATTACTCTGTGCTGGAACTGTTGCTACTGGACGTGTTTGTTGAGGTGATATCATAAAAGGTCCAGGTACTAATGGTCTAGGAGTTATAGGCATTCTTGTTATTGGATCATAAAACATCATGTTTGAATGAGTCAGTCCAGGAGCTACCTATAAATAAATCGATTGAATAAAAAGATAAATCATCAAAAATTGATAATAACAGAAGATTAAAATGGCGCAACTCGAATGTTATTCCGAGTCTAAACGGACGATATAACCATTTTACTAATAAGACCTTAGAATTGAACCGTGTCGCAGGAGACTGGATGCTTTTAAGTTGCGGTCAAGGAGATAATCATAATCGATGACTGGAAATGTTGCATAACACTGCTTGAAACTTATTGTAGTGTTATTGTTATATCCCCTGGTGAATTATGAATGGTAACTTTTAGGACTATCTATGGATCAATGTGATATGTATATTTCCTATTGTATAGTTGTTAAATAACTGACCTAATGGTATTCGTGTTCCTCTTATCATTAGCTTTATTTTGACTCATAGACTATTATTATACGATTTACCATTCTTGAGTTAACCCTAGTCCATTAATTACTGTTACCCCTATTCACAACCACAGTTGACCAAATCTTGTACAAATGTTATTTTCTATTTTATGGTACAATGTGGTCTGTTTGGTTGGTATATAAACCCAGTATGTTTGTGAATAATGATTCATATCGCCAAGGCTGTTATTGGTGTTCTGAACTTAAGTGGCTGGGTTAGGCAGAAAGCAGGGCCGATACGCACTCAAGACTGCTCGTACGATTTTATGTATCATAGCTCTGATCAATAATTCGCTCTTCTCTCATTGGCGGGAATCAGCACGTCCATATATCAAATAGGGGCACACGCACGCATTCACTCACACGTTATAACAGTTATAATAGTTGCATTCGTTCTTTGTTTCTTTATAAAGTTCCGGCTATTATCTCACACTCTACATTACTTGTTTGTTTCTCCTCTCGTTATGCTGGCGTGAAATAAGAGTATTTGAGCTCATGTACAATAATGCTTATTCAGTTCTATGTTTTCTCTAATTGACTGATGATACAAAAGTTATAATAATTGGGATTAATCGTAGCGTTATCTTTGCCATCCTAACGAATATAAATTTTATTGTTCAGCTAGGTAGAACCACATTATAAAGAAAAAAACTCTTCGGTATACCTGTGAATTCGATATAGGTAAGTTGGGATTATTATTCGCTGTCAGCACAGTTGGTGGAATCATTGATAATTGTGTTGAAGGTATATTTATTGGATTGACAATAGGAATTGAAGTAGAATTTGAAAGATTACAAAATGGTAATCTATAACCAGATGTTAATGATGGAATAGGTGAAGGAGTAATTGAAGTTTGTGAAATATTTGATAGAAAAGATTTTGGATCCGTTCCATGACATGAATTAGGAATTAAAAAATCAGCTAAACTTGCTACAAAATTACAAATAATTGACAACAGAAAAAACAGTTTTGTGTTACTATTGAATAAAGAACCACTTCATTATATTACACACTATAAATAGTCTGCGTGATTATCGTAAACAATGGTTAGTGACTTTGAATGACATAGCTCAAAATTGTTTACAATGCCCAGGTGCGGCCGAGAGTGGGGAGAGTCCACTCTCCCTCTCCAAATGCTCTCATATGGTCACGAGTATATAGCCTTTGCCAGAGAAGTCCTACTCACTGCCTTCTCGTGACATTATTGTTGTTTACGAAATTGAGAGGACGAAAAGTAAACGTCCGGCGCTTTAACCGGGTTTCTGCACACGCAAAGTCCACCTAGGGGAGTTGGAAAACCCTGATTTCAAACCAATGGTGCACATGGGTTCCAGTATCCTGAATGAACAAATGGCGTATGAATCAATCGTTGGTCACCGACTACCACCAGATTGCATCTCCTCACGATGCTCCACTGCCTTGTGGATCAGACCTTTAGGCCAAAGGCTCCGGGTGTGGTCCCCTAAGAAAATGAGATTTTTGCGGAGCATATGTATTCGGTGCCCCTTTGTACCAATATTTGTGTTTAAATAAATAAGTTTGCGATGGCTCAAGTTCATCAAACCTTTGTCTTCCCCGAATTCTGAGATACTCAATTCCCCATAACGTTTTCTGTGTTTTATTTTACTAATTCATATTTTTCCGAATAGTATCTTCGATGATTAATCTTTACCATTACTACTAACACTATTACCACATCCACTATTCTGGAATTTGACCTGACAATTTCATCTCTTTGTGTTAATGGGATATGACAATTTAAACCGATGTACATATGTACCAGGTTTTACATTGTGACTGACAAACAAGAAAAAACCCAAAAATTCAAATCTGCAAATTGTTTTGTTGTCCTATAGACAGAAATCACAACTTTAGGGATGATATTTTACGGCCAGATAGCGTTTAGTGTGGACCTACACATATCAAGCGTAATTCACCTGCCAATTACGAGCCTGTATACTCAGGACTGAGACATATTTTAATTATGTGAGTGATAGTGATATTGATTGTTTGGCCTCAATCGGTTTATGTGGAGGGGGGGTTCGAACCCGTGAATGTTGAGTGTTTTCATCATATAGACAGTGAAAACTACAAAGATTGTGTGTAAAGTTTGAGATGTTGAAAGGTATAGCCGAGAACCGATAGTAATAACAAAGATGTATGAAATCACTGTCTTAAAATATTCACACTTTCAATTCAACAATTCAAAACTTCTCGAATCATATTGTCTATGTTTAATGTTTCCTACTACCAATGAGATTGTTACTACTTCTACTATTCTGGACTTCATCCTGATAGTTTTTCTTGTTTAGTGGAATTAGTATAAGAGCTTTCTAAGAATGAAGGTATGTGCTAGGTTCTACATTGCTTAGGATTAATTGACAGTGTACACTTAACGACTAAGGATATTATTTTGATATTAGAAGTAGTGTGATAACAGAAACCAGAAAAAGAACTACTTACATGATGGTGTACCAAAGGGATGAAATGATATCAGAGGTCGATCTTTATCATTATTATCCGATAATAATAAATCATTTTGTCTTTCATCTAATGTAGGTGTATCACCACCGCCTGGAGAACTATCACTATCATTACAACTATTCATAGAGTTAATTTTATCAAGATCAGAGAATTTGGGTTGTTCTTCATTTTCACAATGTGCAGCTTTATTTATTGAAGTTTCGGAAACAGATGATGATGATGATGATTTTTTATCGATTGAACAATGTAGTAGATCAGAACTGGTAGATGATGACGAGATAGTCGTCGTCGTCGCCGTAGGAGTAGTACAAGATAAAATAGTCACATTAGTAGTGGATAATACATTGATGGTTGATGATGATGGAACAGTTGTATGATTGTTATTTTCAACATTGATAGCATCTGAAAATCTAGATCGTTTGACACATGGAATATATGAATTGTTAGGAGCATTCGTTGTTTTTGTTGTTATTATTGCATTGGTTGTTATTGCTTCTTGAATGCAATCAATTGATTTAAAATCATTATTGCTAGATGATAATAGCAATGGATCATTCATTAGATGATTAGTTTTCCAACATAAATCAGTGGCAGTAGTGGGTGTGGTTGTTGTGATAGTAGTACTAGTAGTATCATGAACAGATTCCAGAACAGGGTTACTGGATGGAACAGGGGAAGTAACTGACAGTGTAATAGGATTCGATTGTGCTGGAATGCTATAACAACATATGAGGATATATAAACAGACGAGAAAAATCTAATAAGTAATAAAGAAATACTGAATTTCAAATCAATAGGCGCGTTACTAAAGATGGGATTTATTATCCTATTTTAATCACTACATGAGTGAAAAGAAAATGAGTATAACTGAGAATCATTCACAGTAGTGTAAATACATTCACTCTTTATCATCCTCTCGATCTTGAATTCTAGTAATTCTTCATGAATACCTTCCCGCTTGGTTTTCTGAAACTTTATTCTCAGTATATCGTTCATTTTATTGTTATTCTTACTTCCTACTCACTGCCTTCTCGTGGCACTACTTTTGTTTACGAAATTGAGAGGACGAAAAGAGAATGTCCGACGCTTTAACCGGGTTGGTGGGCACGGAGAATCCACCTAGGGGAGTTGGAAAACCCCGATTCCAAACCAATGGTATACATAAGCTCCAGGATCCTGAGGGAACAAATGGCGTATGAATCAATTGTTGGTCACCGGCCTCCATGGGACTGCATCTCCTCATGATGCTCCACTACCTTGTGGATCAGACTTCTAGGTCAAAGACTCCGGGTATGATCCCTTAAGAAAACCACCTGTTTTGGTTTAGGTACCAGGGCAGTATCACAGCCCTCACACAAATCGAATGATATGTGCCGCGCATATTTATCTGGTGCCACTTTGTACCAATCTTTGTGTGTTAAAATAAATAAATAATAAATAAACTTAATCACTTTAGTCCCTTTTATTCTAAATCTTGTTAATTTAATCTCATCGTGCTAATGGAGTATAGTGACTTGGACCAATACATATCTGTAACAGGTTTTACATCGATGGTGACTGACAACAGACAGATAATATTATTATAGAGCATGGGACAGATGTATGTTGACCCTAGTTGCTATACGTAATTAGTACAACCAGATGAAAATAACAAAAGAAATTGAAATAATATAGTAGGAGTCATAAAAAGGTGAATAAACTATGGGGAGCATGGTCTCATAAGGAAGAGTGGTAAGATATGTATGAAGGAATAATGAGATTTAAGATCGAGAGGATAGAAGAAAGTGAGTTAATTTGTCCCATAGCGAACGATTCTGAACCATACCACTCAAAGTATCCAACCGCTGATTGAGGTTATCATACAGACCCTAACCAAGTAATCTGCATCTAATAACTGTCATATTGTGGAAAAAAATACTACTAATAATGAGGAAGAAAGAAATATGTAGAGGAAGATAAACGAAATGAATGAACCTGCATCTCACCTAATATATTTAAATAATATTGAACACCTTTCAACAAATACGAAATTGTGCTTTATTTGTAAATTAATGAGAATCTAATGTATACAATTTTGAGGAAATCACCCAGTTGTGTCACAAGACAAGCCCTCACATGGAATCCTGAAGGTCAAAGGAGAAGAGGAAGACCAAAGAACACATTACGCCGAGAAATAGAGACAGACATGAGAAGAATGAACAAAAGTTGAATAGGACTAGAAAGGAAGGGCGAGGACAGAGTGGAATGGCGAATGCTGGTTGGCGGTCTATGCTCCATTGGGAGTAACAGGCGTAAGTAAGTAAGTAATGTATGTAATTGCTTTTACTGTTCGTTGAACGGTCGGTTTTTAAATCGTTTCTATATATATAGATGTAACAAATGATTAAAAGTTATTCAATTTTGAAATTCGCACATTAACTCAAATAAAGTTCTCTGGATACTGATTAGTTTATTACTTTATACGGTTAATTAATTCATTAACAAAGTACTTGGATATGAGCTGCAGTTTAAGTGTAGAAGTTAATGATACTATTTGATTACTCAAGAAGAAATAGATGGAGCAAGGTTCAAAATTTGGAGCCTAGTAATTAAAAATCAAACATCTAGTCACCCAAATGCGTCACAATGCAAGCCATCACATGGAATCTTCAAGGCCAAAGGAAAAAGAGGGAGACCAAAGAACACATTACGTCGAGAAAAGGAAACAGATATGAGAAGAATAAACGACAACTAGATAGAACTAGAAAGAGAGGCTCAGGACAGAGTGAGCTGAAGAATGCTGGTCGGCGGCTTATACTCCATTGGAGGGAGGGAATAACAGGCCTAAGTAAGTCACTAAACGACTACTCTACTCATTATACTTTTACTGTCAAAACATTAACACCGTTGGATGCCGGCCGCCTCAGTGGTCTATCGGTTAAGTGCTCTGGTACGAGACTGGCAGGTCCTGGGTTCGAATCTCGCTCGCCAGGCGGGATCGTAGATGCGCACTGCTGAGGAGTCCCATAATAGGACAAAAAGGCCGTCCAGTGCTTCCAGGTTTTTCATCGTGGTCTAGCTTCAATTGACTCATGATTTCAACTATGAAAATACTGAAATATCCACAAAAAACCCCTTCTAATAATAAAAATAAATAAATAATTTGATTTATCAATGAATGTTCATTTACTTTTTCATTAAATTTGATAATCCAGTTAAACGAGAAATAACAGCAAATGGATCTTCTATTAATTTCTTATTTACATTTTGATTATTATTTGATTCACAAGAAGAAGAAGAAGAAGACGACGACGACGAAGAAGAAGTTGAAGTTGCGATTGAATCCAATTTACTTAGAATTGGTAAATTTTTAATAGAATTTAATGAATTCATTATTATACCATGTGGAATATTACTATTAGGTAATGAAGAGATCATGTCATTCTCAACAGATAATGATGATGTGGATATTGATGGCGGTATCAATGAAAAAGGAGCAATTGATGTTGTCATAAAATTAGAAGACAAATTGAATGATGATGATGAGGATGAAGATGATTTTGATGATTGACATAGATTTTTTAAAATATCAATAGCTGATAATTTTTCCGATTGAATTGTTTCACAAGAATTGATATATGACTGTTCAGAAGATTTTGTTAATTCACTACTAGTATCACTATTACTGCTACTAGCACCACTGGTAATAATTGTATTGATTTGTTGTAAATTCAATAACATTGGTGGTGGTGCTGGAGGTTGTGGAATGAATGAGTCAGATTTGGTCACAGGCAGGATATGATGCTGATGATAAGCTAATTCATTCAATGTTGAAGGAAGAGGAGGAGGTGGACTGAAAGAATGCTGACTATCTAATCCCCCAACAACAAATGGTGGGGGCGCCGGAGGAGGAGGGATACGTATAGACGTAGGTGGTCGTGGTAGAGTTGGTTGGATAAAAGATTCAGATGGCATGGTCAAGCCTACTACTGGATTGTTGGGCGATATCGTAGGATTTGTAGGATTATTATCAGGTACTGTTCCAGTTAGCTATAAAAAAAGTCAGAAAGACTGTAAGGGAAAAGTATCTTTTTCATAATGAACAAAAGTCGTTATGAACAGACAAATTAGTGGTGTCATGGACATGCAATGTTGAGGATTCGCATACTAGGACGGAATAACTGCCCAGTTTTCTCAGATTTTTATTAGCTGTCGAAATTATTATTATTATTTATTTAAGCACATAAATATTGGTACAAGGAAGCACCAGATAAATATGCGCCGCACATATCTCATTCGATTTGTGTGAGGGCTGTGATATTGCCCTGGTACCTAAACCAAAACAGGTGGTTTCCTTAAGGGATCATACCCGGAGTCTTTGACCTAAAGGTCTGATCCACAAGGTAGTGGAGCATCATGAGGAGATGCAGTCCCATGGTGACCGGTGACCAACAATTGATTCATACGCTATTAATTCCCTCAGGATCCTGGAGGCCATGTGCACCATTGGTTTTGAATCAGGGTTTTCCAACTCCCCTAGGTGGAATTTCCGTGCCCACCAACCCGGTTAAAGCGTCGGACATTCTCTTTTCGTCCTCTCAATTTTGTAAACAACAGTAGTGCCACGAGAAGGCAGTGAGTAGGACTTCCCTGGCAGAGGCTATATATTCGCGTGCTGTAAACCATAAAGTAAATGAAATATGGGGAAAATTAACATTCCTATAAATGTTTACAAACGGTCTCATTGAATATGATAAGAAATAACCGCATGATGTATAAATATTAGAATCTAGAAGATTACTTAGCATTAATTCTTTCTGAAATCGTTGGAAAACTAATGCCCTCAAAAGCTTTGGTACGGCCGAGAGTGAGGAGAGTCCGCTCTCCCTCTCCAAATGCTCTCATATGGTCACGAGTATATAGCCTCTGCCAGAGAAGTCCTACTCACTGCCTTCTCGTGACATTATTGTTGTTTACGAAATTGAGAGGACGAAAAGTAAACGTCCGGCGCTTTAACCGGGTTGGTGGACGCAGTGAAACTACCTAGGGGAGTTGGAAAACCCTGATTACAAACCAATGGTGCACATGGGTTCCAGTATCCTGAGGGAACAAATGGCGTATGAATCAATCGTTGGTCACCGGCTTCCACTGCCTTGTGGATTAGACCTTTAGATCAAAAGCTCGGTGTGTGGCTCCCTAAGAAAACCACCTGCTTCATTTTGGGCACCTGGGCAGTATCACAGCCCTCATACAAATCAAATAAGATTTGTGCGCCGCATAAATATCTGGTTCCACTTTGTACCAATATTTATGAGATCTGGGAATAATTTACGATTATTACAGAGTCATGCAACTTTTATGTTTAACTACGTTATAATCAACTTATTATTACTACTAGTAGTATTAGTATAATTAGTATTATTATTAACCTCAGTTTGAATTTGAAAGAAAGTACACATGGACCAATACCATCAACAGTCGACGACGCATCATACATATCCACTGATCTACAAAACAATATATTATGCTACCCGACCATTGCTGCTACCTTGACGTGGTGGTCGGGCTTGCCTATCGTGATGAACCAGTCGAGCTGTACTGGCTGGAACAATCGTTTCTCAAGGTTCTACCATGCCAGACAGGTCGGTTGCAGAGCGGTAAGACTAAAAGCAGAAAACCCAAGGTCCGAAGGCGAAGTCGTACTGCTGACTGTACAGAGGCGTGACAGCAGTAAGGTGTTTCCTTCAGACAACCAGCATAACAGCGATGCTGCCTTCCCACAAGGAGGGGTGGGGTTAGAAAAGGTCGACCCTAAAAACGCACACCTCGCCTTATCCTACGGATATCCGTCTCCGGCGGTAAGGTCCCAACAAGTACGGAGCTAACACAAAAACTACCCACATAAAGGTTGTGTGTGACCGACCTCAAGCAGTTTTCCGTCGGGCACTGCGGTCACGCTCTCAGGTCATTAAGACCACTTCTAACCCAATTTCCTTTTCAAATACCTCTAGAACCCTTCCATGGTGTGGGCAACGGGGAAGTGATAACTGCACTCATACCTCTAACAGCACTCAAGGCCACAGTATATTATGTTACACTGTTGTTCCTGACTCGTCTGTGATGGACACGAAGTATAAAAAAAATTAAACCAATCTTTTCAACTAGACAATAACTTTAATAATCAGAAAAAAAAACATAAAACTTACGCAGTTTACTGGTTTCATTACGTTACATTTTACTTCAGTAAATATACGCCAATCTTTATCTTGTTGTGAGCATATATCATATTGATCATTTGGATTTACATTTTTATCCAGTATATTTTCATTTGTTATATCAGAAGGTTCTTCACCATCTGATACTTCCATATTATCTTCTTCATCATCAATAGCGGTATGACTTGTTTTATTAATAGTCTTATCATGATGATCATTCACAGTATCTTTATTATTTTGATTATTTGAACGGGTACAAGTTGAGTAAACAGTTTTATGTGAACTTTTAAATTTATGTGAATAATTGTTGGCATTAACAACAACACAAGTATCATGAGGATTCATTTTAGGCATATTGGATAAAGAATTAATAGGGTTAACTTCTGAAGAATTGGTATGATTAATAACTGTTGGATCTTGTAATTTTGAAGTTGGGATCATTTCCGGTCTATGTAGGTAAGATTGAATTTAAAAAGAAATATGTGTCGTGAAATTGTATTCATTATAAAGATTAGAAGTTAATATTCTTCACGAACACCTACCTACTTCATCCTACATTACGGCTCTTTTAGATATAACATACAGATAACTTTCCAGGGATTTATCTAATACAGAGATTTGTTTAGCGATCCGGAAGACGCAGTCTTTTGATGGCTTTGAGCAACAATGAAAGTGTATCGTGATGCATTTCCCTCCTTCTAAGTGGAAAATGCTACTTCAGAACTGGTCTTAGTTAACATCTAAACCAACGATAAGAGGTAGTTGAACACATGAACTACTTCATTTTGGAAGTCTCGTCAATTGTTGTGAGTTGGTGCCTGGCAAAATTTAGTACGCGTTGATAAAGTTCGTTCGGCTTTTATCAAATTGAGTTATTTGTGATGTTGGTGAAATGCCTGTCGCCCTACAAATAAGCGAGTTTGCTGAGCATCACTCTACTGTAATATTTTATAACTATAAAAATAAAAGATATTTGTAGGCTACAGTTACTTTTATTACAGTTATCTTCGAGAGAGAGAGTGTATACACCTGCGCCATTGTGACCGATTCTGAGCCATGTCACACAGAGTCTCCAACCATTGGTTACGATAGTCACGCGGACACCAACCAAATAGTCTGCATCTACCAACATGGCTCAGACTAGAAGTTGATGACTTCAAACACTGATGCCACGTTTCCGTTTGACCGCCCCTAACTCTCTTCCAACCATCCCCAATACTAGTCAGCATTGCGCGTCGTGGTAATCGGTGTTCAGACATACGTAACACGTGGCTCAACCATCTCAGTCGATGAAGATTCACAACCACTTTTTTCTAATATCCTGTGGTTAACCTCATCATTACTTGCTCGGTGATCCCAGCAGATGTGAGCAATATTTCTAAGACATCTGTGGTCAAATACAAGTAACTTACGAGTATCTCCTACTCTTAATGGCCACGTTTCGCAGCCGTAAAGTACAACAAAATGAACTGCCACCCAGTATACTCGTCCCTTAATTGATACACGGATATCTTGCCTTAGCATAAGTGACGTAAGTTGGCAAAAGCCAAACGAGCTTTTTGAATCCGTGCTGAGATTTCGTCAGACACCAACACATTACAGCTGATTAGACTTCCAAGATAAGTGAAGTTGTCGATGCGTTCGACTACTTCACTCCCTATCATTAGTTCGTGTCCCTATCCTTCCGAGTGCTTACGGAGCCGTTTATATGAACAGCACACAGGCGAATGTTAACGGGGATCCACTCTAATAGTGCTTGTTCTGTCCTCGTACTAAGCACTATACCTACACCTGCAAGTTCACGAGAACTAGCCACCAGGTTACCAGATTAAAAACTGATCTTTATCATCTGTTTTTCGATTAGCTAACGACAGGTAAATGTTTCTTGAGATCACTTTCAGGAATCGCTCCAGTTCATTCCCATACTTTATTCAATCTTTTCCCGGTATAGTGAATAAGCAATAAGAGTATAATATAAGTACAAGTTTAGGAAATTATTAAAATAACTGCAACAAAGTTTAACCCATTGTTAGCCAATAGTAAAAGTCATCATAAACGCATAGATTATGGAACAGAGCATGAATTCGTCTATATGAGTATGTCATATGAAGACATAAGTATTTTTTGAGTCCCCAGTTTGGGTTCAGAGTTAGGGGTTATATTAAGATTAGGACTGGTTGATTTGTGTGCTGTATAGAATCTATATGCAAATAGTTAAATATTCGATATGCTTAACACTATAATTTTAATTTTAGACGTTCTGAACAGTCAGTCAGTCACAACGTAGAACTTCGTACGTACGTACGTACATCAGTTCGAGTTGCCATACCACATTAGCACAGAGATGAAGTTGTCGATTCAAATCCCATATTGGTAGAAGTAGTAAGAGTATAAGCATTATGTGAAAGATTAGAGTTTGAAGATGTTATTGAAGGAGTATAATCCAATGAAATAAATTTGGAAAGAGAAAAAGGATAGTAACATGAAGAATTCAGAAGATTAGAATTTGGTAGAACACAAAGAGTGGATGCACCTTCGCCAATGTAAACGATTTTGAGCCATGCCATTCAAGGTCTCTAACCATCGATTGCTATCATCTCTCGAATCCCAACCAGGTAGTCTACACCTACCAGCATGGCTCAGTCCAATTGTCAGTGACTTCATGGATTTATGCTTGACTGACTTGTCTATGTACCACACTTTAATCAAATAATAATTTATAAAGTATATAAAACAAACAAAGAACATCAAAATAGTTACCTGGAATTATTATTATTATCATCATCATCATCATCAGTTTTAACTAATTTAGGTAATGTCGGATTTAACAATACTCGATAATCTACATCACCGGAAGCATCACAAACTGGTTGAAAAATAGGAAAACCAAATGGTGTTGGCTTACACATTGATTGAAATGTTTTTGATTGATTATTGATTCGATTAGTTAAATTATCTGTGATTATTTTTGACGATATATCAATCGGTGATTGACTATTCATGATCTCCGAAGAATAATCGGTCTCTTTTTTATTCAATAATTTTGCATTCGATTTTTCACTTTTGCTGTTATTGTGGATACTACCATCTTCTTTATCATCATCAACATCTTCATGATATTCTAAGTCACCGCCAACACCATCATTATCATCATCATCATCATGATGAGTAAATCCATCATTTAAATCACCATAATATTCATCACATGAATAACGTGATTCATTCAAAGAATTCTCTTTGTTGTATTTTGTTGAATGTTTATTATGATCAGGTTGACATGTAGTAGTAGTAGTAGTTCTAGATGGTGATGACGATGATGAAGTATGGTCCCTATGAATTAAATCATGCAGTTCAGAAAGTGTCTTTGTAACACGTTTTCCGTAAGTACCATAGGCCTAGGCGAAGTAATAAACAAAAAAACGGAACAGAATACAAACGCTGATGCATGTTTCATTTTGTAGTTATAATCTTGTGTCGAATATACCATATATTCCAGGCAGTTTATCTACATGCGTATATATATATATATATATATATATATATATATATATATATATATATATATATATATATATATATATATATATATATATATATATATATATATATATATGGTGCCTCCTTGTACCAAAGTTTATGTGTAAAAAAATAAATAAGTGGACGTAGATAGAGAAGCGTGGTTTTCGAGCATAGAACAGTGCAAACTAATAACCTGTTCATCATCTCATAGTTCGTTAGTTCAACTAAAATAAAATAATAAAACTGATTGGGGTTAGACATTAACACCGTTGAATTCCGACTCAGTGGTCTAAAGGTTAAACACTTGCGTACGAAATCAAAGGTCCTGATTTCGAGGCCCGCGTGCGGGGTCGTGGATGAGCGCCGCTGAGGGGTTCCACACTCGGATGGTGCTCTCAGGTCTTCAATGGTGATCTAACTTAGATCGATTCATGATTTCAATGTAATACAACTGTATTGAATAAGTAATACCATAGAACTTACATTTACAACGATAGCAACTTCTTTTAGTTGTACATTATAATAAATTTCTGCACCTTCTAGTATACTTTGCAATGCATTCATATGTTCCAAGCGTTCTTCATATTTCTTGTATATAAATTCTAAATGTTTACAGCACTTATCAACCTAATTGTTTAAGAAAAAAAGCGTTAATGAAGATAATAATAATATTACTGCATCAAAGACATGTTACGTTGTTTAATAATTTATTCATGATCGATGTAAGATCTGACATAAACGTTTAATAATCCAAACTCACCACACTACAACAGCATAGCAAGACAGGAAATTAACCAAACCAATAGTGAAGGAGTTAAAATAATGACAGTATCAAAATTAGCTTTTTAATGATTGCTCATCAAATATTTATCCATATTTCCTTGAGACATCACAGTAACAGGTCAGGTCAGGTCAGCTACAACGTAGGACCAGGCACATATATGCATCGGTCCAAGTTGCCATACCTCGTTAGCACAACAAGAGGAACACCGGATTTATAGTAGTTAATCTAGTGTTGGTAGTAGTATATAAATTATAGGTTGTATATAAGGATATAGTACAGGAAGGAAGAGAGATATGAAGCAATTTTAGTCTCACGGTTTAAGGGAAGATAAAGAGTGTATACACCTACGCCATTGTGACCGATTCTGAGCCATGTCACCTAGAGTCTCCAACCATTGGTTACGATAGTCACGCGGACCCCAACCAGGTAGTCTGCATCTGCCAACATGGCTCAGGCTAGAAGTTAGTGACTTCAAACACTGATGCCATGTTTTGGTTTGGCCGCCCCTAACTCTCTTCCAACCGTCCCCAATACTAGTCATCATAGCGCGTCGTGGTAATCGGTGTTCAGACATACGTAACACGTGGCTCAACCATCTCAGTCGATGAAGATTCATCACCTCATCAACTGGTTTACCATCGTTCCCTAATACCCTGCGTCTAACCTCACTATTACTTACCCGGTTATCCCAGCAGATGCGAGCAATATTTCTAAGGCATCTGTGGTCAAATACTAGTAACCTACGAGTATCTTCTACTCTTAATGGCCATGTTTCACAGCCGTAAAGTAGGACAGAGCGAACTGCTGCGCAGTATACTCATTCCTTAATTGATAGACGGATATCTCGTCTACGCCATAGGTGACGTAAGTTGGCAAAAGCCAAACGAGCTTTTTGAATCCGTGCTGAGATTTCGTCTGACACCAACCCATTAGGACTGATCAGACTTCCAAGATAAGTGAAGTTGTCGACGCGTTCGACTACTTCACTCCCTATCCTTAGTTCGAGTGTTGACGCAGGCCAGTCCTGGAGTAACAATTTACATTTGGATGGGGAGAAACGCATCCCAAACATCCTGGCATTACTACTGAGTTCCAAACAGAAGACTCTGCATTTTGCCAGCGTCTTCACCAAACAGGACTATGTCATCTGCGTATTCTAAGTCGCTTAGTGGTCCCCCTGGTAGGAGATCAATTCCTGAAAATTCAGTCGATGAGAGTGTTATTTCCAGCAACAGGTCTATAATGAAGTTAAACAAAAATGGGGATAGTGGACAGCCTTGACGGACACCACTTGAGGTTGTAAAATCATATGACAGTTCGCCATAAGCTCTCATTCGACTAATAGTGTTCGAGTAAAGAGCCTTCAAAAGGTTTATGTACTTCTCAGGTACACCTTTCAATGACAGACACTGCCACAGAACCTCTCGGTCTACAGAGTCAAATGCTGCTTTCAAGTCAAGAAAAACTATCATTGTCGGACGCCGATAAGCGTGTCTGTGCTCTAAAACTTGACGAATGGTGAATATGTGGTCGATACAGCCACGACCAGGTCTGAAGCCAGCCTGATTTTCTCGTGTTTGCAGTTCACGAGTCTTAGTTAGGCGCCCGATAATTATTGAGGCTAGTATTTTAGATGCTATGTTAGTCAGACTAATCCCTCTATGGTTATCGCAGGATGATTTTGACCCCTTTTTATATATTGGGACAATCAGTGATTGTGACCAGTCGGATGGGATTACATCCGTCTCCCAGATTTTAGCCAGAATATTAGTCAACCTAATCGCTAAAATCGGACCACCGTATTTAAAAACCTCTGGAGCCAATCCATCAGGACCAGCTGCTCTTCCTCGTTTCAGATTACCTATAGCCTTTTGAACTTCAAGTAGGGTCGGGGGGCTTACTTCAATGTTCCATTCAGGTTTTCTGGGAATAGTGGGTAGTTGTGCAGTAGCTGAAGGCCAGCTAAACTGCTCCTTAAAGTGTTCCGCCCATCGTTCTAAACGTTTAGGTTGAGAGCAGATAAGGGTTCCGTCTTTTTCCGAGATTGTCTCACTTACACTTGACTTCTTAATTCCGGTTTCTTTTATTAGTCTGAATAGTTGCCTGGTGTTGCCTACAGCCGCTGCCTTTTCCATCTCTTTTGCTTTCGTTGCCCACCACTGCTCACGATCGTTCCTTAGGCTTTTAGTTAACCTAGATCTAATTTCTTTACGCTCTTCGTCATGTTCAGAGCCTGATGGGATGAGTTTACGCGAATCCATCAGTGAAATAGACTTAGAGGAAATCCACTGGTTTTTTGGAGCCCTATGGTTTAAATGACTAATAGATGTTACTGCCGTTTCCACAGCTGTTCGTGTGTCTTTCCAAGCAGCATCTGGGTCAGTCTCCTTTACAGAACTGCCTAGATGTGAACTCAGTTGTTTCTGGAATTCGCATTTGGCTTTCTCGTCCTCCAGTTCAATCCTAATGGGTCTTCTTAGTGTACTTTTCCTGCGTCCATTGAGGCGCAGACAAATGCGTGCTCGTATTAAAGCGTGATCAGAGTCTAAACAAGTATTCCAATACGAGCGACAATCTTCTATTGAGCCTCTCCAACGATGACTGATGACAATATGGTCTATTTGAGTCCATCGTTGGTTTGGTGCAGGTGGTCGCCATGTTAGACGATGTCTCTCCTTATGTTTAAAATTAGTGCTTGCTAAAAATAAACGATTGTCTGAGCATAGTTGCAACAGACGATCACCATTATCGGTTCGTTGAGCCGGAATACTAAAACACCCACCTAAATGTCTTTCTGTTTGATTTAAGCTGCCTACCTGGGCATTAAAGTCACCCGCTACGACTACTATGTCTGAGCGCTTAGCTTTCTGAAGAAGCTCAGAGAGTTTTCTGTAAAAGTCATCTTTTACTTCATCATGGCTGCAGTCAGTGGGAGCGTAGGCAGAAACGACGAAAAGGCAACGACGTGTGTCCCTATCCTTCCGAGTTCTTATGGAGCCATTTAGCCGGACAGCACACAGGCGACTGTTAACGGGGATCCATTCTAGTAGTGCCTGTTCTGCCCTTGTACTTAGTGCTATGCCTACACCTGCAAGTCCGCAAGAACTATCCAACGGGTCACCAGATACACGGAGGGTGTATTTCGTCGGCTGTCCATTTTGGCGAGGTGAGGTCAAGTGAATGACCACACTGGGATCCTGTATGCGTGTTTCGGAGACACAGCATACATCAATGGTACGAGATTCTAGGGTTTTAGCTAAGGAGGCCTGTTGACCGATTTGGCATAGGGTACGTACGTTGAAGGCTCCAATGTGTAGTTTGGAGCGAGGTTTAAGTAGACCTGGGACAGCGTTTCGCGCACTAGAATCGTTGGCCATGGTGACACTTGAGGAGGAAACCGAGAGAGGAAGTTTAGTGTTGAAAGTCAAGGTAGAGGGAATAGTAGGAATTGAAGAAGAAGATTGATTATGAATACAGTGGTCTTGAGTGCTGTTAGAGGTATGAGGGCAGTTATCACTTCCCGGTTGCCCACACCGTGGAAGGATTCTTCTAGAGGTACCTGAAAAGGAAATTGGGTTAGGAGTGGTCTTAATGACCTGAGAGCGTGACCGCAGTGCCCAAGGGACAACTGCTTGAGGTCGGTCACACACGACCTTTTTGTGGGTAGTTTTTGTGTTAGCTCCGTTCTTCAAAAAAAACCTTACCGCCGGAGACGGAAATACGTGGGATAAGGCGAGGTGTGCATTTTTAGGGTCGACCTTTTCTAACCCCACCCCTCCTTGTGGGAAGGCAGCATCGCTGTCATGCTGGTTGTCTGAAGGAAACACCTTACTGCCGTCACACCTCTGTACAGTCAGCAGTACGACTTCGCCTTCGGACCTTGGGTTTGCTGCTTTTAGTCTCACCGCTCTTTAACCGACCTGTCTGGCATGGTAGGACCTCGAGGAACGACTGTTCCAGCCAGCATAGCTCGATTGCTTCATCACGATAGGCAAGCCCGACCACCACGTCAAGGTAGCAGCAACGATCGGGACAGTAACAAAGAGAAACACACTCTTCATTGTTTATTCATTTTTGCCATTGGTATATTGCTATATTTGAAGAGATTATAAGATCACCTAAATCAGCAAACGAAACGAAAGATCAGCAACAAAACGACAAGACAAGCTTAACTATTCCGATGTGTCCCAGCCCTGCTAACCCGAAGGAGAAGACCCGGTTCAGAAAGGCATATTCCACAAGCAGCTAGAAGTACAAACAACAACAAGCGCATAAATATAGCATAAGAATGTCCTTGGGAAAGGTCACAAAGTAATATATTGAAATAGGGGACGAACCAATGACATTTAGGGTCCTTTCAAATGAAAAATACGATGTGAAGGTAAGAATGAGCGTTTTTGCACGAAAATAAGAAATTTCAATACCCAAAATAAAATTACAAAAACAAGACGTTTACCATGTGATTTCTGGGGATCTAGCGTCCCCAACATATATTCAGTAGTATAAGTAATAATTCGTAATAATGCTATTCTGGGTAGTGGATCAATGTGCCCGTTAAGCCGTCCAAACTAGTCGCATGGTAGTCGGTTAGTATATGACAGCTAAGCGAATGTAGTAGCAAGGTGTATTTTATTGGATTATCGGTGTGAAATACGTGGCTGTTTGCAGACAATAGTGAGATATTTGTAACGATTAACTATACTAAGGATGGGAGTTTTACTATTTTCAATCTAACTTTAGACAAGCAGTTTAGAAAGTTCCAAATGATGGTTTAAAGAATTCTCATTTTGGCTGATCCTAGTCAAAATTTCGAGAAATATTTGATCTCGGAAAGATTTAAACGAACGTCTTAAATAATGTAAAATATAAAATGAACGGATATTTCACTAGACACTAAATCGCTGTGGGAATAAATATGGTCAAAGAGAACGTTTAGGCGTTGATTCCCGCATTCGACTAAAACCTTCAACTGACCTTAACTAGTATCCCTTTTTGACCAGACGAGATGACATTCAATGACGGACATGCTTAATTGTATGCTCGATGCAACTAGTTTCACAGGAGCAGCCAAATTAGCAAGTGAATATAAATGAGGTGGATTTATGAAATGTATTCTTCTTTTCGGTCATAATGATCAGTTGGTTGTGAAATAGGGCATATAACTTAGTTGCAGTGAACATTTATTGTAGTTTTCTCTACCTATTATGTCATTAATTTGCTAACACTTCCATTTACTAATCGCAAATTCAAGAATACACATTTAGTAGGAACTGTGGATATCTCTGATTTTATTCCAGCCGGGGGGGGGTTCATACGTCTGATGATAAATCATTGTTACTTTGAAGTATAGCTAATGTGAAGTGAAACTGCCAAATAAACAAAACTGGTGTTGGATAACACTTGATACATTAGTTCACAGCGATTTCAATTAAATTTACTGTAGACTGCATAAATCTACTATGCAGGCCATACCATTATTTACAAGACAGGTGCACGTCATGAAACTACACAAAACTTCAGACATACTATTATTTCAAGGTTGTTGTCATACTACTACGAACAAAACTACAGTAGTAAAGTAGTATATACTGAAGAAAAATCTGAATTTCGTACAAACTTCATGGGGGGTGAGTGAAAAAAAGGATTTACAGTAATACTAATGGACCCACATAGATAATAATACAAATATAAGCAACAACGACAGCCATAGATAATGGTTTATGACCATTAAAACTGGTTACTTTACAAAGTTGAATAATTAGGCTTTCAAGACAGGAGTATGAAGCATCTTTTCAACAATGTTAATCTTCTGGATAAACTTTTAGGAGGCAATAACAGAAAAGCCGTTTGAAATGGAGTGAATTCATTTCGCTTTGTCTTTTTGTACGTCTTTAATATGTACGGACATTTTATAAGTAAAGATTTACAAAGGTGAATCTGTATTTAACATTAATAAGATAGTTCTCTTTAATAGTAAAGAATAAATATAATTACTTCCCATTTAATTTATGTTGAACTTAAATTAAGCATCAATTAAATCCCATACAAGCCTTTTAATTGTGGTAGATTGTTGCTTATTAAATAAATAAATCGTAACAAACTTACTTGGCCTGTTAATGATCGACTTTCTTCTTTACTTTTTAATGAACTAACAGTTGATGAGATTGATGTACCGTAACCAAGTGGGCTAATATCAAATTTTCCGTGTGATTCACATATTTCATCTAGTTGTTTTATCTTGCGTAACGTATCAAGTAGCTTTTCAGGCTATTTAAAATAAAACATTAGAATTAACTTGAAATGTATTGAAATTTGAGTGATTGCAAAAAATACCTTGGAATTATAATATCGATGGACTGTAATGCTAAAAAAACTTAGATTGTGATACTGGATGACAAGGATCTAAATACTAAACAGAGTATTAGTTGCCCTAGGTTTCTAAACACACCTTTCTACCAGTTATTGACTAGTATAAAATGTAAGTCCAATGTTTCCTGATGATCATCTTTAGCTATATGACATCAAAACATTCCATGAGATGTCAGGTAACTTAAATGATAGGTATAACGCAAATTGGTTGCTAGAATTTGAATAGCACTATGAATCAGATAAATGCGACACTGAATACAATTGCTGGACTAATCGGTGCAACGAAACATGATTTCCAGGTGTAGGACTTAACGATACAGATTAGTTCGTCACACTGAAGCAGGCTGAAGATACTTTGATTTTATCGAATACACTGAAAATACTACATGTAGCTTAAAAAGTATGTACCTTATTAAAATACTAACCATATTTAAATTATTGTTTCTGTAGTGTAATTCGATCGATAGAATTTAACCATTTTTATGAACTGAACAAACATGACATCAGTTTACTAATCGGTGATCAAATCCCCTGAATTAAGTTCCCAAAGGAGTTCGAGAGCTTGATCTGCAAAGTGGTCATAAAGACGGAAGAAATAAACATCTTGTAAATCAGTAATAGTCATCAGCTACTTTGTTTAGGCTATGTTAGATTATGTCGTGGTTCAAAGAAAAGCAAACATATTTTAAAGTAGTTAACTTAACTACTTACATTGAAGTTTTTAACCATATTATCTGCATTATTATCATGTGATGGTGGAGTTATATTTTTCTTACCGGCTTGTTCAGTAGCATCTAAAAAAAGGAAAAAAATTCTAATATGCATGAAAGAAATGGCTTACTTATTTTCTGTAAAAGTTGTTCAGTAAACTTGATATCAAAGACTTTACGATAGGTCCAGTAATTAATCAACTTTGTAAGCTTGGATATAAATGGCCCAGGTCTGAACATATGTAGTCAATTTTAAGAAACAACAAAACTAACTTTAGAAATTGTGTTGCTTGAGTTACGACGGGTTTTAGTGCTTCACCGAATTCAGAAACACCATATTTAGGACTTTTAGTAAGAATTTCATTTGCCACGTAAAGTAGAGCTAACTGAAAACTTGGATTATTTGCTAGCACGAAAAAAACAGAAAGATTATAAACAGAATGCATTTTTTACCCAAACTAATCATATTACGACGTAATATACATGATAAACTGATTAAAAACAACAGATATTAATATCAATACTCAATGTTATTTTTATTTAGGATTTCATCGTCTTGATATTCTAATATTGTGTTAATGCGAAATACAGGAGCCGGAATCGGTTTTCACTTAAACTAGATCCTACGTTGTTCGCGAACGAGACTGACTGGCTAGTCAGTGTTGTGTAACGAGCACATGAACAACTCAATTATAGTCTCATAGTGTCCATGAGTTGTAATCGTTTAATCAATGGAGGTTACTACTTGGAGTCTATAATAAGATTAAAATAATCAAACTATCCTATGATAACAACACTTATAAGAGTCCTAACTGGGCATTTTTATGGGGTTCAGATGATCTAAATGCAATAAGTTATTAGATGTGAACGTGGGGTAATTTGGTCGTTTTCTATTTTACCCCTACCCTGTAACTATTGTATGGTAGCTGTCTTCTCATTTCTGCTTGGTCTGGGGCTTACGCCAACAATTTGGTCTCGTAAAGAGCTATCAGTTGATTAAACATATATAAAAATTTCATTTTATCTATCAAACGCATCGTATTTACTTATTAAAATAGTCCAAAAGCTCAATGATAAAATCCTACTTCATTAAACAATAATGGATTTGAGCCTAGTTTTACAAACTACCACTGGGTAGCCGAATAGTATGAAAATGACCTTCATTTACTAGAGATGAGTTAGTTTACCACGAGAACATTCAAGTTTACTGTGTGGTATTATCATTCTTTGTTTTGATAAGTAAAAGTCTGTGGAGTAAAATTAGTTATCGAAGCTACCATAGTGCTCAAAGGAAGCAGATATAAAGCTAGAGGAAGACTAACAAGTTAGGGCTTGCTTTGCAATGCAGTTTGATTAGCGTAAAGTATGGCCTACTCATTTCCAGCATCATTCTTAGGTAGAGGCTAGTTTTCTTCGCTAATCTGCAGTGTATTTCTCAGATAGGATTGTGAGTATGGGATTACTTACTAGGGAAGTCAACAGGACGGTAGTCAGAAAGAGAATAACGTATATGGACTTTATGAAATGAACAAAACTAAAGAACAAAGCTATATTCAGGATTCGGAAGACAAAAAGTGAATCTACCTAAGACATTATGACCGATGTTGAGCCATGTTCTCTAACATATGCAACCGTAAACTATGATTATTTCTCGAGACTGATCTGGCCACTTTCTTGCAATGAATACCTACTCTCATTCCAATGTTAGCCAATATACATGTGCTAAGATCAGTACCACATGTGTTTGTATTTGAAAATTAGGGTGGAGCGAGGTCGGTAAACTACAGAAGTCACGGATAGTGGAGAATACATGAAACATAACTAGTAGTTGAGATTAAGACTTTTTCACTTTTTCTGTAGTGATTTTATGAACAAGACATTTCACCAACATGGCAACTGTAGAACAATAATTACTCACAAACTAGATCACACGAATTGCAACATCAAGTACTTTTTCTAAGGTATGTAAGGATCAAGTCACCTTTTGGCTATGCAAGTGAAACTAGTTAAATGGATTCGGATTAACGAGGAGAAACAATTAACGGATCAAAAATGGGATTAGCCAATAAAACCCAGAAAAAAAGACGCGTAATCTTGGTACAATTAATTGTGAAAATACGTCATAACCATTGAAATAAGAACGATATGTAGTCGATGCATTAAAATGAAGGTGTAGAACATACAAGCTTTAAATATTTCTAACCACTGGCTTGAGATGAAGTCCGAATGCTCTGCCTGGATCAGTAGAAACGATGCCACATCTTTTACGTGTTTAGATGACAAAGAAACTTCTGTCAATTTGTGGCGTATCTGATCTTTGAGTAAGGAATTGGAGTCCATCTGAATGCATTCGACTGTTCTTGAAAATCCCGGAGATATCAATGACCTTGAAGAGACTTAAATGGTTCAAATGGTTGAGGACGGAATAGAAGAAGCTTTCGCTTAACGGGCTTCCGTGTCTGATAGCAGTGGATCACCAATGCCTCCAGGCAAAACCTATGTATATGAACAATAATAGAGGGGAAAAAATTTGGTAAATCATAATAATATGTTATCAGTTTCAGTTTCAGTTTGGAAAGGACAGGAGGCTTGGTGGCCTGTGTTAGTCCTGGCAATGATGATCTCTCAGCTGATCCAACTTTCTTTTGAAGGAGTCGACGGATGGAGCCTCAACCACGTGCTGAGGTAATGAATTCCACTCGTTGATTATTCGATGGGAAAGTCGGTAGTCAGCTGACAAGTAATTCGTTCTGGGCTTGTGAACTTTTTTGGAGTGTCCTCGTAGATTTTCTGTTTTGGAAGACAAGAAAAATGAGGGTATATCAGGTGCAAATTTGTCATTTAGCAATTTGAAAACTATAATCAAGTCACCTCTGATTCTTCTATATGACAGCGGGAATAGGTTTAGCTTGGTCAGTCTAGTACCATACGGGAGCTTCGCTATTCCGGTAATCAGCCTAGTTGCTGTTCTCTGAACTCTTTCCAAGAGTTCACTGTCTTTTTTTAGGCAGGGGTTAGCTGCTTGTATACAGTACTCAAGTTTAGGGCGTACGAACACTGTATACAAAGTCAGAAACGTTTTAGCGTCAAGATGCCTAAAAGCCCTGCGTATGGACCATAAAGTCCTAAAACCTTTGGCGGCTATTGCACGGCAGTGTGCAGTAGTCTTTAAGTCTTGACTAACGATGACGCCTAAGTCATTGTGTGCCTGAACAATAGGTAACTCAGTGTTATTCATCGTGTATGTATCCGTACCCTGATGGCCAATATGCATCACAATACACTTGGAAGTGTTTATCGGCAATTGCCAGGTTTGGGACCATTCAGATAATCTCTCCAGGTCATTTTGAAGTTCTAAGCTATCGCTCTTGCTTTGTATCGCTCTCCATATCTTGACATCATCAGCATAGAGTAAGACCGATGACGATAGTAGACGAGGGAGATCATTTACGTACAGGAGGAATAACACTGGCCCCAAAACTGTACCTTGGGGGACTCCACTAAGCACAGTTTCCCAGCTAGACAACTTGGAGTTCACCCTTACTCTTTGTTGACGCCCAACTAGGAAGTCTTTTATCCACATCAATAGATTGCCTCCAATCCCGACATTCCTTAGCTTATATAACAGCCGGTTATGCGGAACTTTGTCGAAGGCTTTGCTGAAATCGATGTAAGCTACGTCTATAGGTAATTTTTGGTCCTTAAGAGCGCACCAGCTTTCACGAGCGACTAATAAGTTTGTGAGACAAGAGTAACCTGTTCTAAAACCATGCTGCTTTTCCGAGAGGATCCGGTTTTCATCGAGATACTTTAACAGTTCCTTCCGAATAATCTTTTCTAAGATTTTAACAACCACACTAGTTAGGCTAATTGGTCGGTAATTCTCAGGCTTATGTTTTGTACCTGTTTTGAAGACTGGACTTACTATGGCGTTCTTCCAGTCTTTTGGTAGACGACCCTGGGTTACGGATAGATTAAAACATACACTTAAAGGGTTCGCAACAAAGTTAGCTAATTCCTTTAGTAACCTAGGATGCAGTTCATCGGGTCCAGTGGATTTACCTATGTCAAGCTTAACTAGCAAACCAAAAACATCGAGTTCTTCAATGGTTACGCTGTCCAGTGCTTGTGTGGGTGGATTTTCATGGACTGGTGAGAAGGGTGTTTCTATGGTGTATACATCGCTAAAGTATTTAGAGAATACTTGAGCTTTGCCAAAGTCATCCTCCACTAGTGATGTGGCAGTACTGTCTCCCCATAATGAAGGAACGTTTCTTCTTCTTTTTGTCCTTTGGTTTATATACGAATACAAGCGTTTAGGGCATTCTATGGATTCCCTTACGATTTTCTCTTCGTACAGCTTTCTGGCCTTACGGAGGGTCGAGGCACAGGTATTTCGAGCCTTTTGATACTGAGATTTCGCCTCGTCAGTCCCCAGTAACCTAAATCTGTCCCACATTTTCCTTCTTTTACGGAGAAGGATGCGAACCTCCCTACTGAACCACGGTGGGGAGTTTCTCGGTCTCTTAGGTGTAGTCCAAGGGATGTGGGGGGCGGTAACTTTTAAGTATAAATTCCGGAATACGTCCCAAGCCGTTTCGATTGATGACTCTGGATCTAATTTCCAATCTACTAATGATGCTGATTTCATGATGTCTGCTATGTTTGCTTTCCAGACGTTAGGTCTGGATTGAGCTGAAGCGTACACGTGATCGACAGTTATATGGAAGTCAAAGCTCAAAACTGCATGATCACTTTTGCCTAGGGGTGGCATGTAATCCAGGTTTGCGACATCATCCTCATAATGAGTCAATATAAGATCTAGTAAAGATGATGCAGAACCCGGGTCGTACCTAGTTGCTTCCTTCACGTGTTGCACTAGAGCACAAGTGATTATCGCATCAACTAGTTCCTGTTCGAAGGAGTTTGCTGACGATTCAGTCCGAAGATTTCCCCAGTCCACCATGGGTGCATTGAAGTCCCCTAAGATTAGACATCGATCACTTCGTGATAAAGTGTTGAGACTGCTTAGCAGGACCTCGTTTGCCTCACAGCTTGGACTGCGATAGATCAAACTAAGTAGTAACTCTTGTCCCCTGCATTTCAGGCGGCAGCAAACTAATTCATACGTCCCACTCTCATGGGATACACTGTCGATAATGGTGAATGGAATAGCATTCCTAATGAATAGAGCTACTCCCCCTCCTTTACGCGTTTGTATTCTATCGGCCCTTACCAATGTAAAACCCTCGAAATCAAGTTCCCTACTATCTATAGACGGCGTCAGCCATGTTTCTGTGACTGCGATTATGTCTGGCCTAGTTGAGTCAATCTGTACACCTAGTTCCGGTAGCTTATTTAGTAAGCTCCGGGCGTTGGTATAACAGATCCGAAGCCTATTTAGGTGGCCTCGTGCTTCACCCACAGTGGCTTCGGCATCATCCTCTGTCGAAGCCTCACAACCCGAAAATTTACAATTTTCAGGTCTTTTTCGCCAGCGTCTAATCTGAGCTGTAGTTCCTTTTCGGCTTCCCGTCTTTTAACACGGTCCGCCAACGGTAAGTCCTTACGGAGAAAAACTCCTGAACCCTTTAATTTGTGTCCATTTTCTAAGATTAAGTCGCGTTCGTTTGAGGATTTGAAAACGACTTTGAGTAGTCTAGACTGATTTGGTTTCAGATGCGCTAGATTTGCTAGTCTATACACCTTTAGCAAGGTGACTCCGGGGATGTTTTTGGGCATAACTTGGTTGAGTAGTTGTTTTATCAACACAATGTCATGCTCAAAACGAGCTTTCGGTTCTAAGTTGTCACTCTCCTTGACTCTATGGAGAATGACTGATCTGTCGCTGTGATCAGACCTCGGCTTGTCGACCCTTTTGGTGGGGGTATGACTTCCTTTTACGTCATTTTGGCGTTTTTTTCTTACGACCCGTACCCAATCGCCAACGTTCTTTGGAGTGGTAACCACATTCGCGTCAGGCGTACTGTGGGATTCCGGAAGAGTCAGGACGACTTGGGAGATCGGGTCATCTTTCGCGCTGGAAACCGATCGAGCCTTGCGGTTTCGGCTTCCTGAAGTTCCCTTCTGGGTACCATTTTTGATACGAGGGACAGAAGAGACTTTTTTGCGCGAGTTTCTGGTTGTAACAGTCCTCTTTGGAGGATGTTCTTCCTCCTTAGTAGAGTGTGGGTCGGCAGTTTTTGGACTCACTTGGGCCTGCCTTGTGTCAATCTGCGTGTCGACAGATTGAGTTCTGACTGATGTATCCCGACCGCGCTTGCCGAGACACTTTTTTGCGGCATTTACTATTGAAATGGCCTCGGTTAGCAGGCTATTTGCATCCAAACAGCACTGTTGACATAGCCATACACATCCATTTTTACTAAACCGCTTGAAAGCTGCAGGTGTTAGATTCGTGCAAACATCGTGGTACCAACCTTTGCACTCATCGCACTGCATGCCGCTATCAACAGGATATCGACATCCTGGGCGGTGGCAAATGCTATTGTTGCATCTTCCAGTCATTTTAAGATGCGAAAGTGAGTGTTGACTATAAGTAGAAAAAAAAAACTATAAACAGTTAGGACCAAAGTACTAACAGACACAATGGAAAAAAAAGGTACTCTGGAGTACCGACGATAAAACTATTTAGGATACCAAAGATGATACTCTAATAGAATACTTTAACTGAAAGAAATTCAATCAAAGTATAAAAACAGTAGTCTTGATACGTTAATAACGATCAAAACAATAGAATTTACTCAACGAGGAAAAATACCACTATCCTTCAGTTTCAGTTTCAGTTTGGAAAGGACAGGAGGCTTGATGGCCTGTGTTAGTCCTGGCAATTATGGTCTCTCAGCTAATCCTTAGTCCTTAAGAATAGATCAAGTTTCCTCTTAAAGGACTCCTGGGAGGTCGCTTGGACTAGCTCAGTTGGCAGCGAATTCCAGCACTTGACAACTCTAACGGAGTAGAAGTTGTGTCTGTAGTCTGTTCTGCTATGTAAGGTCTCCAATTTCTGGGTGTTACCTCTCAGGTTAGTGTTGTGACTAAGCTTAAGAAGATGTTTAAGGGGATGACCAGAAGTATTAAGTATACTGTAAGTCATAAGAAGGTCACCTCTAAGACGTCTGTACTCTAACGGGTAAAGGATAAGTGATTTAAGGCGCTCTTCGTAAGGTTTGAATTTGAGTCCCCGAACTGATTTCGTGGCTCGACGTTGTATACGTTCCAGAGTGTCCTTATCCTTTTGGAGGGAGTAGGGAAATACTATGTTTCCGTACTCTAAGTGGGGACGAATAAAACTGTTGAAGATTATATGGAAGGTTCTACCGTCAAACTGGCCAAAAATACGCTTCAATGTTAGCAGTGCAAAGT